ATAAGTACTACTTTTCAAATGTTGCTGTTTAAATTTATATAATACACTATAGTACTCGAGGTTATAGTACTATAATACTAGTGATAGTAGTATTGGAGGAGTAGTAGTAGTACTAGAAGTATTATTATTAATGTTAGTAGTAGTACTAGTGGTGGTAGTACAAATAGTAGATGTTATAGTACTAATGGTAGTAGGAGAACTAGTACTAATAGCATTGAAGGAGTATTAGCAGTACTGGTAGTAGTACAAGTAGTAGTTGTATTAATCATAGTAGTAAGAGTATCAGTAGTTATAGCACTAGTAGTACTAATGGTAGTAGTAGCAGCAGTGTTAATAGTAGTAGATGTAGTATTAGTGGCTGTACTACTAGTGGTAGTAGTAGTAGCAGCTGCAGTATCAGTGGTAGTAGTAGCAGTAGTAGTAGTGGTAGTACTACCAGTGGTAGTAGTAGTAGTAGCAGTACTAGTTGTAGAACTACCAGCAGTAGTATTACGTAAGAATGCACCATGGGTTTCTACTGCATGTGTTGAATCTGCGCATGCGCCCTGCACACTTTGCATTACCGTGATTGGAGCAGGTTTGTTGCGGATCCTGGAGCAGCTGAACCAGACAGCGGCAGTGTTGTTCTGTGAGCTCCTGAGTGGATGTCGTGGCCGGAAGTGCCCGTGGTGACTGGGAATAAATACACAAGCATTGCAAAGCAGAAAACACCTATAGATTTTTTTTATTTTATTTTTTAAATAAAACTGCAACAGAGAAACCAACACCTAAGCTCAGCACCTAAAGTCTAAATGAAAATAACACAGCAAATAAACCCAACAATATGGGACAAAAACACAATTTCTGTTTTTATGTCACACCAAAACAGGTATATAGTTTTATGACACAGTTAATATATAGGTAGATATATTGGTTGGTTGTGTAGGTAGGTGTTGTCCGCCCCTCTCTGCAGGCGGTGCAGCAGCAGCAGCAGCAGCAGCAGGGGAGGGTCATAGGGAGTGTCCCGGGCCACCAGCATAAACTGCGGCTCTGCGCTCCGCCGCTCCGCCGACTCGACGCCTCTCTGCTCCCGCTGCAGCTTGGAACCTCTCACCGCGGCTCACTCAGCTCCACGCCCGTCCGTCAGTCCGTCCGTCCCCGATCACAACCTCCGCTTTCAGGTAGGGCCCGACCCGCTTTACGCAGACACAATGCAGCCTGTGGCACAGATTACAGCACGGTAATTTAATGCCTCAGTCAAAGCCCGTTATTCCAGACTGGAACAACGGGTTCACTCTAAATAACACTGTAGAATCTTCTGCTTTTTGATTTGCTCTGACTTCCTTCTTTGTGAAGGACATTAAGAAAAAGAACCAAATTGAGCTTCTATTGGATTAAAGTGCTGCGCAAATCTTCCTTATAAGGGCAGCCAATAGAAACCCTGCATGATGTGGCCACAGACTTGCTCACGTTCTTTCACATCAAACTTCCCTGATGTGACACACAATAAACCCAAACAAACATTATGCAACAGGCTCAGTTTTGCAAAAAAAAGAGTCAGCTTGAGCATGTCAGATAAAAACTGTGAGATTCTCCGTCTGTGGTTGCTATAGAAACCATCAAATAGAGTTTCTGTTTTGAGTAAGTTAAGTCACAACATCCCGTTATGAGGCTGTTGAGTGTGTCAGACACCGTGCTGCTTGTGTGAGACACAGATATAGATAGACGTCTCCTAACCAATCAGAATGAGCCATGTCAGATCCTCACTTCAGACATTATGGGATGCCTGAATGCACCAGCTGTACTGCACCCCACTTCAGATTTATAAGCTCAAACAGCTATGTGCATGCATTATGAAGGGCCAAACTTGAGGAAGTGTCTGCACATCTTTGCATCCTCCATATTTAGAACAAGAAAAGTCTCTCTATTTACCACTTAAGCTGCTTTGTTTAGACTGAAATTTTTATAGAAAATACATCATCAAGGGAACATTTCCAGTTCGCCGTCAGCTTCAAAATCCAGAAAATCCCGATTTGGCTGCGATCGTTGCTTTACACGAAAGATGACAGCATGTCTTGTGTTATTTAAACTTAAACATAGGTTAAGTTTGCATCGCCAGTCTCTCGCGGTCAGGAAAGTCGTGCACTAAATCTCCTCCGTGTCCTCAAAAGCCGAGGCCGTGTGTCATTGTTTTGCTACAGCAGTAGTTTTACATGCGAGCACAAGAAAGACTAATTTGGTGGTTTGCAAGTCAAAAGATTTCTACATTCAATAAGAATGACTTTGTCGAAGTTCCCTGTAATCATTGTTTCAGCAGCTTAAATCTCCCCACTACACTTTCGAATACAGTCATGTGAAAAAAATAAGTTAATTCAATGAAAATTCTTGGCTTTTTTTAGGCACATTCGGACAAAAACAACTTGACTCTCTTTGAAATGGTGCCCACAACATTTATCCAACAGATGTAACATTCTTCTGCTGAAAGAAGTAACTACACCCCTGCTATCAGAAGCTAGCGTCGCCCCCTTTAGCAGAAATAACTTCTCGTAGGCGGTTTGCACACTCGTCCACCAGTGTCTGACATCAGCTCGTTGGAATTTTCGAGCACTTTTGTCCAAAATTCCTTCAGTTACGAGATGTTTGAGGGTTTGCTTCCATTTCAAATCTTCCTGCAACATTTAAATTGGATTCAAAGTCGGACTTTAACGAGGCCATTCTTCTATTTGAGCCATTCCGTGGTGGATTTTCTGCGTGTTTTAGGATCATTAACTTGTTAAAAGATCCCCTTCTGGCTTTCAGGCAAATGGCCTCACGTTACCTGCCAGCATTCTTTGATATGATGCAAAATGTTATAGGTGAATCAGTAACTGGAGCCTGCCCAGTCCCTGAGGCAGCAAACCAACCCCAAACCAGAACATTTCCACAGTTGGTGTGACATTCTGCTTTTGAAAAACAGTATTTGTTCTGCTGCGAGTGTGGCCAAACAGCTCTATCTTTGACTCGACAGATCACATTACCACTAAAGTCCTGATCTCTTCCTCTTCCTCAAAGTTTGTTTTTGCATATTTCTCATACAAGTCAAATTTGAACAATGTCCTTCTGACTCTGGATGCAGCACTTTTTCACCAACAGACTTTAATGCAGATCTTGTGATGAATTTTACGCTTCATAGAGACTTTCTTTTTGCATCAAGCAGTCTGCTTGTTGGCTGAGTTTGCTTTGACAAACTGGTAAAATTACATGTTTGAAATCATTTGGAGATCGTCTTTAAACACCCTTTCGGACTCAAAAGCATCCACTAGCTTTATTCTGAAGGCCTTGAGAATTCCTTCACTCTTCCTGCATGTCAGAGGTTAAAATAAGATCCCCGAGGAGGTTCTAATCATTGGTACATAATCTGGAACCCATAATTTTAATTTAAGGATCTGAAGCTGTAATAACGTATTTACTGTTTCCATGTGGTTAATGACCACAAAACGTTAGTGTTTTGTGCCATTTCTTGGAGTATACCATCCTTATCTTTTGGCTCTACTGTTAGTGCGTTCAAATATGTTGTGAAAGTTGAGAGTATCCATGTAATAACCTTTTATCATACGACTGTACAGCATACCAAACACTGGCTAGAAATATTGAGATGTTTTTTGGCCTGTGCATCATCAAATCACTGATTGCTGTGGATTCAGCAAAGTTGGATACTTCAACCAATGGTGGCTAAACTTCACCAAACCTTAACAACAGAGGTGTTGGATCAGAAATCGCTCATTTGTGTCATTTTTTTGGACAGTTTCATTGGTTATTGTTGGGCGTGGCATTGGAACAAACCTCAAACATTGCTTTCTTTAGGCTGTAGCATCATCTCCATGGGACTAAAACTTCCAACGATGTATTTACTTTTTCCAAGTGGAATGAAAATGACCACATGGTATACTATAGGCTATAGACGCTACTATTTATGTGTTGAAATATGTTGAAAAAGTTGCGAATTTCCATGTAATAAACGTTTTTCACATGACTGTACAGCACATCTAACATTGCCTAGAAATCACCTTGACTTTGACCAAAAATGTCAAGATGTTTTCTGGCCTGTGCATCATCACATCACTACAAGTCTGTGACTTCGGCAAAGTTGGATTCTTCTAACAATGGTGGCTAAACTTCACCAAACCTTAACAACAGAGGTGGTGGATCAGAAATCGCTCATTTGTGTGCTCATTTTTTGACAGTTTCATTGGTTATTGTTGGGCGTGGCATTGGAACAAACCTCGAATGATTGCTTTTTTTAGGCTGTAGCATCATCTCCATGGGACCAAAACTTCCACAACATCTATTGAAGCCCACGTTAATGGCCTAGTTAAGTGCGCAACCACAGCGATACGTTGCTCAAAATATTTACTGGCACTCTGAGAAGTTGGTGGGGTTTCTCTCAGACTTGAACATAGTCAGTGTTACTCCAGTTGTGTAAATAAGGCAACACCTCTTACTCAAAACACACATATGGTTTTGTAGTTGCCAACCAGGAAGGATGAGGTAATACTTTAGACACTCTGTAGATGCGTTGCAAGTAAAATCAGTCTAAGTTTACATGCTTGACTGGACTGATGCAGGCCAAAGAGTTGTGGCTGTTTCCTGGAAGTGTTTTCAGGTAAACTGTTCCTGAAATAACCTGTTCTTATCCTTTAATAACCACCCATATATCAGGGATGTTATTTACAAAGTCATAAACAGTCATTTGGATTCTCTTTGTCTTACACTGTGCAAACACATGAGAGGGGGAAGCAGAGTTTGTCCGGAGCGTTATCTGCCCTCAAGAGGCTGAGAGTGGCATGCATGGAGAAAATGAGTCATCAGAAAGCCCCCGTCCTGAAGGAGGAATCTCTTTCGAAAGAAACTCCATGACAAGCGTGCTGCTATATTGCAGCCCAGAAATCCCGATTTTCCACCGCTCTGAGCTTGTTTTTGAAGTGGGACATCAGCAGGCAAATCACAAGGGCTTAAGTACGGCGTTACTCCTCGTCGTATGAATCCCCTGTTGCTAGCTGAACAGTTTTCAGTGGGGCCTCGAGCAAAGGCAGACAACAAAAGAGAGGCTGGTGAAAAATGGGGGAGGGGACTGAACAACTGAGGCTGGAATGACGGACTCGGTGCATGTTTGTTTGGGGGGGTACAGGCTGGCTGCATGCCTCTGCAGCAGTGTGGGGTGGGCTGCAGACACCAGCTGCTTCCCCCTGTGAAGACATGCTGACCAACAGTCATGTGACCTGTTCTTATTTAAGCCTGTGGGTGTGTTGAGTCAAACAAACCAGCCCTCCTTGAGTCACTTTATCCGAAACGGGGCAGCCCAGGACATTAATGCTTGTTTCAGTCAGCTGCTGCACTCATAAAATCAACAAATATGATAAAGAACGTACTGTTTCCCAAACTACCCTCTAACCTTTACTCGTGTGTTTGTTATTTATCATCTACGCTTGTGGCAAGTTGTTAAAGTTTCAATACCGGCTTTGATTCTTGCATCCCCTCTGATGTTTGCTTTATTAAGTCAAAGACGAACAGATGCAGCTTTTCTCTCCATCAGATGAGAAGATCACAGTCTTTATTTATTTAACGCCGCAGAGGCTATGATTTTCAAAATAAGACGTTGCGCAGAAGTGGTATTTTTCACAAGTGAAATGTTTGTGAGTGTGGAAGAAAAATCTTTTCAGGAATTGTTAAGAAAATGCAGCTTTACTTTCAGATGTTGAGAAAACTAGTTATGCAGCTTGCTTTTTAACATTTACAGCAAGGAATGACTGGGATACACGTCGTAAAACTGACACCATCGCGCTAAATATTTGCGTAATGGACAGTTTTAAGCATCGTCCTGTATGTTTCCTACAGTGACAAGGTTTCAGATGAAGTCTTTACTGTACATTCATCTCTGTATTATTTAGCATCCTTTCGCTCTGATCTCTGCATGCCGGCGGTGTTCAGATTCCTGGGTGTGACGGTTCAAATTAAGGAATGGCTGCAGCATAATAAAGCAGAAGTTAATGATTTATTACCAGCTGCTTAACAATACAGTGCCATTGTATTTTGCCACCACAGTTGTTTTAGTTTCCCAAACATTTACGTAGTAATAGTTCTCTCCTACATGCTTTGTCACCAGATGGGAATATTGGATGCCAGCTTTGGTCACTCACATCATCAATGGTGAGGACATTAGCCTAGCTTAGCATAAAGACTGGAGGCAGGGGGAAACAGCTAGCCTGACTCTGTCCACAGATATGCAATTACCAGTCACTCTAAAAACACATCAGGTTGTTTAATCTTTAGCAGAAAGCTAATCTGAAACAAGAAATGTTAAAACAAGATGTCGTTCCAGACAATGTTCGTTTTGTGTTTTCTTACTGTTTCTTGAGTAACTAGTAACTGTGGTGTGAGAATAAATACAAAGAGTAAGTCCCAGTAAAAAGTTTGGACAGAAAGATGCTTTAGGTGCATATTTTAAAAGTTGGATTGCTGCTACCTAAGTCATAACCACCACAGCTAAAAACTAGCAAACACATAATAACCAAAAACTGCAGTTCCTCATATGGCCACTTGAGGCTGGTTCCAAAAGCGAGTGAATCCTCATAGACTCTCATGTTAAAATATCCAACTTTACAGCAGAAATAACCATGTTCACAGCTTGGTATGAAAGACTGTTTTGGTCTCTATAGCTAATTTCCCTGTTCATGAAAACTGTACAAGGGGTGATTTTTATATAACTCACCTGCTTAAAGTTATGCATAATTACAAACATGACCGTGAGATGTTTGTATGGCCCCCCTTGACCCGACGTCTTTGCTCATTGTTGGATTCGCCTGGAGTTAGGAAGAGTCAGGTGCTGCCAAGATGCTAACAGCTGGAGCCTCCACCCTGAGCTTTAAAACCACTAATTAGGAAACCTGTGGATGACATCAAAGAGGGTTTGTTCAGCTTTACATTAGCCGGTGCTGCTAACCAGCATTCTCAGCTCCGTCTCGTGTTTCCTTACCTGCAGACCAGCCAGGTTACTCGATGGTGTTCATCTAGCTCTCCGTTGAGTCTCTGATCATGCAGACAAACTTCAACTCCACCATCTTGGACTGCAGCTGGTGGCGATAGTCCTTGTTGTTCACTCCAGGAGACCTCACTCCCAAAGGAACCTGCGACACTGATTCATGTGCTGCTTCTCCAAGCTCATTGATTCTGCAGAGCAAAACAAGGGTGCTTCAAAGTCCACCCATTAGGAGACACTTCTTAGCTACAGCTCCAAACAGTGGAGATGGATTCCGGTCATGGGGCAGGAGACTACCTGGGGAGGGAGCAGAATGACATCAAGAGTCGCCACAACAGTGTCCTGAACTTTCCTTTATGAGGATATCCGCTGCAACTGATCTTTAAAAGTAAAACTGTTACATGTCGCACCTTTACGTCTTCATGCTAAGCTCGGCTTTTTGCATCCTGCATCCTGAAAGCGGTATCAGTCTCATCACAACTTTATTACAGTGGTCCAGTCCAGCTCTATAAAAAGGACAAATTCTCCAAATTTTTGAGCTGGTCCTCTGACTTTCAAACCTGACCTGAAGAATCCAGACAGCAAAAACAGTTCCCAGTATATACGTATGTCATATAAACCCCCTGACCCTACAGTACATCGTATCATTCTGTCTGTATACACTGAACATCATTAAGTGCTCCGGTGCAGCATTTCACTGTTACTGTTTAACGGGTTATTTGAAGTTCTTATCTTGACAATCGAGCCCACTGCGTCCGATTAGCAGGAACTTTTGCTGATGGTTCCTTGATTGGCTGTAGGAAAACAGACGGACTGAGGCTGACATAAACAACGATGCACTCGATGATCAAAGAAGAAGAAAACATCCACATTAGAAACAGTTTCTTCTTCACTGTTGTTATAAAGTTGCACCAAAAATCTCCACTTTTTATTCTTGAAAACTGCACTGGAACATTGGGAGTTACCACATTTCACTATTTTCATGACTCAGAACTTGATGTCTGACTACTTCCTTGTGAAAAATCAGTATGTAAACTATCATAAGACACCAAAACTTCCTCATAATCTAGCAGAGAACCCAGAAGTTGCTGGTGATATTCAATGTGACCAGTATTAGTTGATGACTAAACATAAATTAATCAGTTTTGCTTTTCTGTGTGTTCCTGGCGTTAACTTAAGTCGTCCTGTGTGGCTTCAGATGCTGCCACCCTCCTGTCTGACTTTTTTTAGTTTTCAAGCTTCTTCTTTTTGGAAACTCTACAAAGCTACTTTAGAATTGAACATTAAGGAATTTCCCTGCAGCCTCACTTGTTCTTTATTTAGCCAAATCTGGACGCACAAGCAGTATAATAGAATTTCAGATGGTGCACGACCTCATATGACTCCTGTTAAATGTTTATTTTGACTTTGTGTGCACGCTTTGTGTGAAGTCAGATGGAACTTTAAATATTCATAATCTGACCCCGAGAGCCACCTGAATGTTTAGTTCCCTTGTTGTGTCCGAAATCTACCAGCCAGCAACGGAAAAGTGACAAAATATGTCCATAACTTTGAGAGCTTTGCCTGTTAAAATAATTGTCGTCCAGATTTTCCATTTTGACTCGTTCCATCGCTGCAAAACACTGCGCACCGAGTCTGGCTGTTACATAAGAGAAGAGCTCAAATATGGAAAAAGGAACCCCACATTTGTTGGCCTGATCGGATTCTGAGCCACTTCCCTGTTTCAGGGTCGGCAGCAGATTCCTGCCATGTTTGTGGGCAGACGGTCGCTCAGAAGAATGGGCGATTCTTGCTGCAGTGTGGACGGTTAGTCATGCAAATTGAAAGGCAGCAGGTCCAAGCAGCATTCCTGTGGAAAAACTGGATTCTGTGTTCATTCTGAACTACGTGACCTCTAGTTTAAAAAAACACCTAAACTTGGGCTTTTTGGGAGGCTTATTAACCAACAGTAAAGACGCATTGATGGTCTGAATGTCTTGAGAGCATTTAAATGAGTGAGTAAGTGGAAGCATTTGACCGAAATGGACCATGAAGCTTTACAGAAACCCCTTTTACAGAGAAATCACTTCAGAGAAACTGTTTACACTCTAACTGTGGTGTTTACTCCCCTAACCAGCAGTTAATATGATGTTGGAGTCAGTGTGGGTTAAAATCTGCATCAGGATCTTTTGCATATTTTACCAAAGTGTTGCTTCATGATACCAACTGTGTAATCTGATGACAGGATCTTTCACTTAAGTGAAAACAGCAAAACAAAATGCAGATATAGTCCATTAGGAATAAGCACAGTCCTGAATTATTTCTTAAGGACATTATAATAAGTGTTTTCTTCAAAGTGCATCATAATCGGAGATCACTAAGTGAACTTTCTTTCAGTCTGGTGCTGAAACTTTTGCTAAAGCATCTTTTAAAGAACAGATATCACACCATCATCTTTATAATTCATCCAGTTAATCTATCCATTGACAGTCAAGCATGTCAGAGCAGCAGCTGTCTGGCTCGTTGTTCTTTCATTAACTGTTCTGCAAACACTTGCCAGACACCCGCAACAAAGACTCTAACAGGATGCTCGACTCCCATTTTAAACATCTCAAACATCCACACGTGCTACAGAGCAGCCAGCCGCTCATAGTCCAGCACAGACACCTACTTGAAACTCTTGATCAGGCGCCATGTGTTTCATGTGCTGTCAGATAGGACTGAAGTGCTTGATATATGTATGTGTGTGTGTGTGTGTGTGTGTGTGAGTGGACAGTTGTCTGACAGCTGATGTTCCTATTATCTGTTTATCTGAGTGCACATAGAACATGGCTGACATACTTTTGGCTAACGTCTGGCTACAAGAGGACATTTCTCTGATTAAACATCAGCAAAATTCTGGAGAAATATTGGATTCATATGATTTTGGCATCAAGGCAGTGGAGTTATTTAGATTTTACAGGCATTTAACAGGACTAAAATGCAGTTTCATACCTCTTAATGGGTGGAGTAGAAGTTCAGTTATCTTCACAGGTCGTCCAAAGTTTAGCTCAGCAATAAATCCTGCAGAAACAGACAAATGAATTTCGTTACTTAGCTTATATTGTTCAAGTGACAATGTACTGGTGACAAGATACCGCATGTGTGAGATTTGAGGAAGCACTTGGCGACAATGGGAGGGAACAAAAAAAACTCCACTTGTTTTAAATGATTGGAATTAGTATTTTTTTTAGATTTTAACAAGATCTGTAAACCCAAGACAAGTCATAACATGTGGAAAATTCAGTTTTGCTGCTAAAAGTTTAGAGTTTTTCTGATCTTAATGGACCAAGCAGAAGTTCTTCAAAGGGAGTCTGAAGTTTAGCTCAGTGAGGAATTTTGCAAAAACAGACATATCCATTTAGTTTAAGGTTACAGGCATTCAATAGGTCCTGCAAGTCCAAGTCAAGTCATAAAACTTTGCTAGAATGCAAAGTTTTGCAGCAAAAGGAGTCTGAAGTTCAGCTTAGCAATAAATCCTGCAAAAACAGACATATCCATTTAGTTCTTTAGCACATTATGTCAAGTGAAAATGCACTGTTTTATGTGTGACAACGTATGTGAGATTTGACGAAGCACTTGGCGACAAAATCCACTCATTAGTAAAATATTGGACTAATATGATTTTGGCATCACGGTGGTGGAGTTTTGGGGGGTTTTACAGGCATTTAACAAGATCCAAGTCAAGCCATAAAACTTAGAATATGCCTAAAAGATTTGAGTTTAACTGATCTGAATGGATGGAGCAGAAGTTCAGTTATCTTCAGAGGGAGTCTGAAGTTTAGCTCAGTGAGGAATTCTCCAGAAACAGATGTATTTATTTAGTTCTTGTACCTATACCTCGCCTGTTTTGTCAAGTAAAAATGCACTATTTTATGTGCGCATAAGAGAGATTTGCTCCATCTCCCTCCACTAGTGGGCGCATGCTGCTGTGTTTTTAAGTTAAAAAAGGTGGAAACTTATCAGTAAAGCAGCCGTCTGTGTTATGCATACACAGTGTTTCTCATAACAGTTATGACTGCGACTAAAGTCATAGCTGCCAGCGCTTCCTGTTGCAGGAAACACCCTGAGCACAGTGCACCAGTGACTCACTCTGCTCAGCATTAATGTCTAACTATATCCCCAAACTTTATCTTCGTATCCATGACAACAGCCTCGAGGGGAGTGGCCTCGGGAGCAAAAGCCTCCCAAACAGGGAGTCGCTGCTCGGCTCTCTGAAGGGTTCGTCGCAGCAGCAGCAGCACTCAATCTGCTCTGTGTGGTTCTTTCCCAGCAGGCAGGATGGCAGCGCAGCACCCACAGTTCGAGCTGGCCGGACAGCAGCCGGGCCTGCAGGTGTGGAGGGTGGAGAACTTCGACCTGGTGCCGGTTCCGGAGAACCTCCACGGGGGGTTTTACACCGGAGACGCCTACCTCATCCTCAACACCATCAAACAGCGCTCCGGGAACCTGCAGTTCGACCTCCACTTCTGGCTGGGTGAGTGCAGACAGACGGTGGCACCTGGGTGGAGGAAGAAATATTCAGATTGTAGAAATATGAAGAGTTCATTTGCAAAAACAGATAACTCCAATTTTGTAGATTTTCAGAAAACTTATTTTTTTTGTTGTTTGCTTGAGATGATATCAATCAAACTAAAGTTGAGTGGATTTGACTCAGTAGAAATGACAAAAATAGAGATAACTTAAGTTTGATATTTCCTCAGGTAGATGATGGAAAAGTGGGTTTTCTGAAGGTTTGTGAAGATGGAGTTATCTGTTTTTGCAAATTAACGCTTCATACGTTAATATACTGCATGAAACATCACACATAAGTAGAAGAACATCAGCGTGAGCAGCAAAATATGGTTAAAACCATTAAACTAGAGTTCTGGTTTGGTCTCTGTGATTGTTATAATAATATATGTGGTGTCCATTAGAGTATTAATAGTGAAGCAGCATGTTGCTGTTGCAGCTGCTGCACTTTGAACTACTTTATATTCAGGGACAGCAGATAAATCTGAGGGGTTGCTTAGATTTTTCTCTTCTTTCCTCCCAAGTTCTGCTGCACACAAGTTTTGATATTCGGTGAGATATTGCATCAATCATTAAAATAAACCTATGTCAGACAAATAGAAGGAAAAAAAATCGTTATTTTGAGGATGCAGTTTCTCTCTTTGGCAGTATTTAGATTCTTCAGTAAAAGCAGAAATACTCTATTACAAGTCACATTCCTTCATGAAAACTCTAATTTAAATGAAAGCACATGGTGAAAAAATATGAAGTAAAAGTGCAGTTTTGTTCCCTCTGACGGATACATTGTTGTATAAATCATTATTAGATTATTATTCATGAAGCATCAGTGCATCCGCAGCATGTTACTGTTGTAACTGCAGTAGATGGGTTTACTTTAAACTACTTTATATCAGGTTTTATATTCAGAAACTGTACCGGAGCCGTAACAATTCATCTAAAATGAGACTCTGCCTGCACACTTTTTTTTGGTAAGAAGTCCAGAATGTTGGAAACGACTGGTTTAATCTTTGTGTTGCATTTTTAAAGCGTGTTATATTATTCGTCGTGAAAAATATTCTAATAAATAGAAACCACAACTGTCAGAGGGAAATATTTAAGTGGCATAAAATGGAAATATTCAAGTAAAGTACAAGTGGTGAAGCATAATACTTGAGTAAATGTACTTGGTTACTTTCCACCACTGTGCTGTGTTTCTACAGAGAAACATGTGAAGAGTAAAAGGAAAATATGACTTGTCTTTATATTTGAAGGTGGATTTGAGTTGGATGCTATTTTGTGGTTTTTCTCTTTTGAAAAAAATCAAAACTGTCAACATAAAATCAGCGTTAAACGTGCAAACTGTTCACAAAAACACATAAAAATGACAACATCTTAGTCATAATCTGATACTACATTTAAATAACTTTTAAAGCAACGAGAGAGAAACGTTTCTGGATGCATTTGCTCCATTTTTTTCTTGTTTCCATGCACGTGGCAAAACCCAGAGTGGATGATCTCAGTTTTCCAGGGCAGCTCCGGTCCTGTTTGACCTACAGGGCAGACGAGGTTCCTACGACGTTATTCCACTGGACAGAGTTGCTGCGCTGCAATATTTACTGCAGATGTTGAAACAGTGAGTCAGGTGATGAAGGCTCGCCGAGCAGCGCGGTCGTAAATGTCAAACGGCTCAGTGGTGAGCAAATTCAGCAGATGATTCTACGACAACGAGGAAAACGCTACGACTTCTGAAGATACAGTTGAATTTCAGACATCTTTAAGGCGGGTTTAAGATGAGTAGAAGCAGCAATGTCAGTAAAAAATCTCTACTTTCTGGCATAAATTAGAAGTCGCTCTTATTTGCAACTGGGTCAGAACGCAGCAGTTTAGCTTCATACTGGTTTTAACAGGCGACCTCAGTCCTGACTTCTCTCCACTGGCTCCCTGTTTGATTTTTATATTCTACCTTTAAAGCTAGAAAAGCCAGAAACCAGCTCCCAGCTTTAGATCCTCATGTGGAGCTTTTCTGGCTGTTTTAAATGTAACCGTGGTTTTGCCATCAGGACCCTTCAGCTTTAAAATGAGCAGAAACAGCTCATGACTTCTTTTAAATCCGTCTTTTTTTTTGCCTTTATTCGAAAATAAAAGCAATCTACAGTGCACATTTAAAAAGTCTCTGAACGATATCGATTTTTTTGTGTACATACACAAAAATGTATCTCTAATAATTGGAAAAATCTGTGCAGTATCACTATTTTCCTACATATCGAATAATCCTGTTGACAGGACTCAGGTTTAGGATCCAAACGCAAGACTCAAAAGTGGAAGTGAACAAAAATATGCATTCACAAAAAGTAAAATACAACACAAAAACTCATCAGAGCTAGAAAACCTCTCTTCAAGTCCAAAAAAACATGCAAACAATAAATCACAGCGAAGGATCACTTAGCTGGGAGCTTTGGATGGACAAGACGGCACAGGAACGGTCCATGAACATCATACACTGGTACAGGACAAAGGGAGATGCAAACATTAAATACACACATGTGGTAATGGGGAAGAGCTAGACACAATTAGGGCAGAGAACAATCAGGATGACAAAACAGCAACAGGAAGTAGAGCCCACAAAAATCACATGAAGATGAGGCGACAAAATAAAAGCTGCCAACAGAAACAGGAAGACGAGACAGAAACAAAAGTTTAACTTGACCCCAGAGTGAACCATGACACCAGTATGACATCGTTACTGTCCTCATTTAGTGAAATCTGTGAATTTCTATGAGTAAAATGATCTGTACGATATCAACAGTGTTTTTTCTTTTTCTTTCTTTTTGATGTCCTTACATTTGTCCAGTTTATCCAGTTGCTGCTGTAAAACTGCAGATCCTCCCGATCTGAGCTTATCTCATCCTCTATGCGTTCATTTAAGTTGACATTTAGTGTTTTGCACTTCTGCAGCTTTTATCTCCTTATTTTCTTTAACTTCATTTTACTTTTTAAGCTTAATTTAACCTTGTTTTTATTTCTGGTTATTATTTGTAAAGGTGCGAACTAACTAACTAAGTAAGTAAGTAAGTAAGTAACTAAATAAATGAATAAATAAATGATAAAATAAATATAAAATAAATATATCATATATAACAATAAATAACAACAACAATAATGATAGTAGTAGTATCATTATTACTACTACTACTACTACTACTACTACTAATAATAATAATAATAATAGTATTAAAAGTTATCAGTAAAAATGTATTAAAGTTTCAAAAGTTAAACTATTTATTCAGAATTTGTGGATGTTGTCACCACTGAGTGACCTGATACATCCACATGGAAGCAACATTTGCACATTTCCACTTTTTTACTTTTGTTTATTGATTTAATGCTTATCAAATTTTAAAACATTACTTCACTGCATTAAATGGGAAAGAAAAATAACCCTAAATTAGAATACTATGTGCATTATGAAGCATGAAAAATAAAAACAGAGCTATTATACACAAACTGTCTTTGTTTGTAAAATGTGAATCTGCAGTTTTTACCCTAAAATTAAAATTCCAGTTGGTGTCTTTATTTTAAGTTAAAGTAACGAATCAGATTTGCGTTTTGGACATATTTGGAGTATTTGCAGGTGAGGAAGGCGTCTGACTGGGTCAGTCTTTAGAAAGCAGAACCAGGTCTGCGTCTCTTTATTGATTTCATCTGGTGTCAGTCGGCCTCATCGATCGTGGAAACCGATAAACAGGAACTGATGTAATCCTGCCTCATGCTGACGGCCGACACGGTGCCACCACAAATAGAATCATGTATGAAAGTGTGTCGGGCGTCGTTCCCACATATCGACCTGGACTCTCCGGCTCGCTTCGTCACAACTCAGAGTGTGAGTCTGCGGTACAGGACGATGAGCTGAGAGATAACAGGATTAACATGGAGCTGGTCTGTGGTTCCTTCTTCACAGGTGACTTCTGCACCCAGGATGAGAGCGGCTCAGCAGCCATCTTTACGGTCCAGATGGACGACTTCCTGGGCGGGAAACCCATCCAGTACCGGGAGGTGCAGGGACACGAGTCCAAAACCTTCCTGGGCTACTTCAAGTCGGGGATCAAATACATGGTAAGACGTCACATTTGCAGCAGGAACCACAGTGTTAAGGGTCATTTTGGGCTTTTTTCAACTCAAAGCGGGAAAACATTATGTGAAAAATGGGATTTCTTGTTCTTATAAAGTTTCGTTTCACATTTTCTCACTGTAACACAGAAAACCCAGTTATTTTGTTGACCAGTTTTCCTGTTTCTACTAAAACATTACATTTTTTAAGAATATTAAAATACCATCTTTCTCTCTCAGCATCTGTTTATTTTGGTATTTCTGCTCAACTATCTCTGATTTGCCTAAAACATCCATAGCAATAGATATAGATATTTGTTAAGATATGTGAGAAAATGTGGCTTGATATGTTGAATACTTTTCAAGTTAAGTGCTTTTTGTCTAAATTGCCTCTCGACCCACTTTCAGCATGTTTTTTTTGGAATATTAAAGTTTAAGGCTGTTTAAACAATAATATTTTAGGAATTATTAAAGATTAAAAAAACAGATACTTTCACTGTTATACTGTTAAACAACCCTTGGACTGAAACAAAAGCACTTCATGCACATTTAAATCAGCTAAAACAAAGAAAAATCCTGATTTATCACTGCAAAAAGCACAATTTCGTGGACTTTTGTCTTAGATAAGACCTTAAATGGAGCTCTGCAAAGTACAATTTTAACTAAAGGCAATAATAAAAGACTTTGTAGGTATTTTAGGATGATAAAAGTACAAATAAAGAGAAAAAAATGTATTACAAAGTAGAACGCAATATAACCTATTTTTAAATCTAAAATATATTTTAAGGACAATTTCTGCTCAACCTTCTCTGATTTAGCTGAAAATTGTACAGCATAAAATATCAATATTTATAAAGATATTCGTGAAATTTTAGCTTGATGTATAAATACTTATAAAGTTAAATGTTTTTTAAATCGCCTGTTGACCCACTTTCAGCACTTTTTTCACACGTTGAAACTTGAGGCTGTTTGAACAACAATATCTCAGGAACTATTAAAGATAAAAACATGACTTTTTCTCTGTTATTTCTCATCATGTCACTGATTCAGAATCTGTAATATTGGACAAGTAGATTCAATTGTCCCTGATTATGAGTTGAAATATTTTTTAGAAAATAGGCCGTCACCTCTGAGCAGAAGTTGACGACAGATGTTTTCTGAACCACATGTAGCTGCATGTCAGATAATGGTAAAGTCAACTTATGGTCGTGGGAAGTTTTACAATTATTAAGCGTTAGTAGATTTTGTGACATTAAAACATTGTTATTTTGAGGGTCTGAACGTCCCAATATACCAGTTAAAACAAAGACTTCCCTTTTTTTTAGCAGTATTTTTTAAAACGTGACCTTTATGTTCCAGAAAGGAGGCGTTGCGTCTGGGTTCAAGCACGTCGTCACCAACGAGGTGCAGGTCCAGCGGGTGTTTCAGGTCAAAGGCCGGCGTGTCGTCAGGGCAACGGAGGTGCCGGTCAGCTGGGACAGCTTCAACCAGGGAGACTGCTTCATCCTGGACCTGGGAGATGTGAGACTTTCACTAGAGATGCATCATAATGTGCATCATTTAGCAAACTGAAGCAGTGACAGTGACAAGCAAAGTGTTTTGTGACCTCCCCTCGTTGCTCTCGCTGCTCAGGAGATCTACCAGTGGTGCGGCTCCCAGAGCAACCGCTTCGAGAAGCTGAAGGCGACTCAGGTGGCCAAGGGTATCCGTGACAACGAGCGCAGCGGCAGGGCTCGGGTCTACGTCAGCGATGAGGGGATGGAGAGGGAGAAGATGCTGGAGGTGAGAGTCGTGCTCAAAGTTGAACCGATTTTGCTGCAGCAGCTTTTTAAAAAAAATTTAAATCATCACGTCTGTTTTCAGGTTTTAGGTCCCAAACCGGACCTGCCTGCTGGAGCCTCCGACGACATCAAAGCCGATGCTGCCAACAGGAAGAGGGCCAAACTGTACAAGGTACGTCTGCTGGAACAGCTGTAATATGTCTGAAATCTAAATAGTGTTAAATATTGATATTTATAAAGAAATCTGTTTAATTTTATCTTGATATATGAAATACTTTCCGAGACAAACATTTTTTTTTTAAATTGTCACATTGAAATTTCAGACTCTGGACGACAATATCTCATAAAATATCAAAGATCAAAGCCTGAAATTTTGACTTTTATTTCTCATCATGTCATTGATTCAGAATCTGCAGCCTGGGACAGTAGACTAAATAATTTAATTGTTGAGAAATTAAAAAAAGAGAAACCTAGAATTTAGAGATAAGTGTTGGGATGGTTTTGGGAAATCTGACCATTTTAGGCATTTATTAAAAAATAAATAAATAAAAAAATGATTAGAAAGAGTAAAAAAGAACCTTGTTTGAAGTTAGCGGTCTCTGTCAACAGTCTTACAGATGTTTCGTTATCATTCTGGTACATAAGATAATGCTTTTTGGGGCTCTGGGATTCTCTCATTGGAGTGTCATCAGTGGCTTCTGTGAAAAATTAAGCAAGAAATGAAGCGCATGTTGTAGTTTTGTCTTTATTTTCTTATGTAATATGTATATTGTTATAAAGAATTACTTTTTTAACTTAACATAAAAGTAGGTTACTGAATTTTTTTTTAATCAGTTTTGTTCACTGAAGACCATTATTTTTGTTTGTATTATAAATATATAGTTTTGCTGTTTCAATTTAGTGCAGTCTGTAGAAAACTATACAAAAACAGCAGTAAAAGCACTGCTCTGTGGTTTTTACTCTACATACAGACACTGTAATGTACTGTAATGCTAATAAACATTATTAATTGCAAAAACAGAAATACAACCTGAAGTAAAAATGGAGGTGAAAATCTGAGAGATGTTTAAGAGAAGGAAGAAACAGGAGTTGGAAAAATGTTTTAACCTGTTTTTAGAAAAAAAAAAAAAAAGAGTAAATTTTTCTGTGAAAATCTAAAAGAACGAAAATAAAAATAAAAAATCCCCAAAAATAATAGACTTCATCTGCGCTAACAGAAAACCTTTAAATACAATTCTTATTTTTTAAAAAAAAGAAGAGGTAAAATGTTGGGATTTTGTATAACAGCCTTGTTAAAGTCACAGTTTGATTCTTTGTCATTTTAGGGATGTTATGGGATGTTACATTTGGCAGCCTGGAAAGTCCTGGAGGAGGCAGTGCAGTGTTTTGGTTTCACAAACAGTCACACCTCATGCCTCTACCTGACATCTCTCTTCTTCTTCTCCATCTTCTCCTGCAGGTGTCCAACGCCAGCGGAGGAATGACCATCGCTCTGGTGGCAGCAGAGAACCCGTTCGCTCAGAGCGCACTGGAGTCCGGCGACTGCTTCATCCTGGACCACGGGTCGGACGGCAAGATCTTCGTCTGGAAAGGTCAGTGCAGGAAGGATTAAGTGTACATTCATGTAGCCCAGCTAGTGGTTTCTAGTGACTGTTTGTGCTAAGCTAAGCTAACTGGCTATAGACACAAGAGCTGCATCAATCTACTTATGTTGGTTTTTAAGTGCATTTCAGAAAAAAAGTCTTTCTTCAGATGTTAACAATATTATTTGTAATTCATCTAATATGAACTGTCATATCTCCAATTTTGTTGAAAAAAACTCTAAAAATTCAACTTAATCATGTATTTATATGTTGTAATGCAACAAACACGATGAAACTTTTGCTCATAGTTGCAAAAAATTACAACTTTCCGCAGAAATTAATGCTTAATGCACCCAGAAGAATTATTTATACCACCAGAGATAATCATAATAATAATTTATTGAATTTCCCTTCTGGGATAAATAAAGTATTTTTCATTTCATTTCATTTCATAATAATAATAATAAACTTTATTTATATTGCACTTGTTACAAAGACACGTTACAAAGAGCTTCACATTGGCAGCAAATAACTCATAAAGCTTAAAGGCAGGAAAACTGATTTCCATAAAAACCAATGCAGGGTAGGAAACGTTAAAAGATAATAAATGAAATAAAGAAATTAATCTCATGTAAAATCAAGAAAGGCTCTTCAGTAAAAGTAGGATTTAAGAAGAGATTTTAAAGACATTCTGATGATTTTCTTTTAGAGTTTTATTGAATCCTGACTTCAATATTCCAACCTTCTCGTCTCTTCAGGCAAAGACGCCAACATGGACGAGCGAAAGGCGGCGATGAAGGCGGCGGACGAGTTCATCAAGAAGATGGGCTACCCCAAGCACACGTCGGTGCAGATCCTGCCGGAGATGGGCGAGACGCCGCTCTTCAAGCAGTTCTTCAAGAACTGGCGGGACAAGGACCAGACGGTGGGGCTGGGCGTCGCCTACATCGCCAACAGCATCGCCAAGATCGAGAAGGTGCCCTTCGACGCCGCCACCCTCCACGAGTCGTCGGCCATGGCGGCCCAGCACGGCATGGTGGACGACGGCAGCGGCGAGAAGCAGGTGAGAGGCTCAGAGTTAAAGTACTGCATCAGACAAATGGGAAAATTAGAAAAGATTTCCTCAGTTTTCGCAAATTTCTTGATGCTCACTTGAGGTGATTTTTGAGTTTTGCATGTAAAGGGAGTTGGAAACACCTTTTGTGAATAAGTTGCAAACATTTCACTAACTAAAAAGAGGTTTCTGGAGGATTTATTTATTATTTTGTAGTTAGGTGTAGGTCTAACTGACACTTCACATCTGCATTAATAGTTTGTTTTACTACGTTTATTATATATGTATATATTTTTGCTTTATTTTTTATTTGTATTTTATTAATTGTGTGGACTTCAAAACATAGAGAAGCCATTATTTGAAGCGTATCACAGGTCATTTAAAAAAATTTTCATCACTAACTATTCATCAGAAAACATACTGAAGAAATATTTTGCGTTCTAGTTTTTTTTTTGTATTAAATATGAAGATATTAATTCAGCTTCTGGTTGCACAAATTTCTGCCCATATTTGCTTGACAATTTTAGAGAATCATGATTTATGACGATGACCTGGAAGTGTCTCAGTGGCACTTTGGGAATTTACCAACTTTGTTCAATTCCAATTACAGCCTTAATTCCTCTGATAACCTTCTGAAGAGTTGTGCAGTATTCAAGAGTACATGCATGAATAGAAACCAGTTGGGGCCTGTTGTCATTACTGACTATGACTCTCTTTCTATCTTTCCCAATAGATCTGGCGTATTGAAGGATCCGACAAGGCCCCGGTGGATCCGTCCACGTATGGACAGTTCTACGGAGGAGACAGTTACATCATCCTGTACAACTACCAGCACGGCGGACGTCGTGGACACATCATCTACATGTGGTGAGGACACAAGAACAGTGTGACGTGAGTCAGTCTTAAAACTGGAGTGCAGGACTCGATGTCTTCACCTCATAGTGTGAAGTTCCTTGAGTTGATATATGTTGTGAATTGGTGCTATATTAATAAAATTAGATTAGTGCATCAGTAGCAGGAGTGGTGCTGCAAAATGAAGCCAATGCAGAAAACCTGCAGTTCCTGAAATGGCCACTAGATGCTTGTTTCAAAAGCAAGTCAACCTCCATAGAAGCCTATTTCAAAATGGCCACAAATAAACTCAATTACAGCCTGCTTCAAAAAAAGATGTTGGTCTCTAGAGCTGATTTTCTCCATTCATAACAACTGTAGAGGGTTTGAATGTTTATATAAGTCATCATTTAAATTGTATTAGGACTTTAACTTGTGCATAATTAAGGCTCATCTCAGCTCTACTTCTTTGATACATTTTGGATTAGCACACTTTAGGATGGGGGCATCCATCTTTATTTACAGTAAATGGTTTTATGTCACCCAGCAGTGACTGATTTAAAGCAGAGCAACCGAAGCAACGGAGATGGAGTTTAGTTGCAGCAACTCAGAGTAATATGTTGAAGCCAAAAACCTAGAAAGTGTCCAAGAAAAGCTTCTGACGTACCATATATAACAGAAATCTGATGCTTAGAGGAGGGATTACAGTCTGAAGAAACAACAGAGCTATCAACAGCGAAGGTACGCCACAAACAGTTTTAATGTCATTACTTTCACTGCCAGAAGGGGGAGACAAAAACTCCACACTGCAGGTTTAATAGCATGAATTTAACAAGTTAAATTAAGCAACTGGTGCAGAATCTAATAAAGCTAATCTAATCTAATGAATGCAGGTAAAAGCTGGAGGATTTGCTAAGTGGAAGATGAAGAGAGTATTGAAGCAAACAAATGAGCAAGTTTAGGAGTCAGAGCTCAGAGACAAAACGCTGATTCAAGAAGCTAATCTAATTGGATTGTGAGTGCAGGTGTTGTTCCACTTTTATGTTTGAATGCATGAATAAAAACCTAAATCCACCTTGTCTCCAGGCAGGGGATGGACTCCAGCCAGGATGAAATCGGGGCGTCTGCGATCCTCGGAGCTCAGCTGGACGAGGAGCTCGGCGGCGGTCCAGTGCAGGTACAACACATCGCTGCGTCCCGTCGTCTTCGTCCACGCTTGGTTTCATGAGCTTATATTCATTTTATCACCCGTATTATTAATGTCTGTCCTCCGGCGTCTGACTCAGCTCATCCTGTCTGACCTGTACATCCTCTTTTCCCTCCTGGTTTCCCTTCTGCTGCTGCTGCTGCTGCTGCTCCTTTCCTCTTTAGGTTGTTGGTGCTCCTATAACCACTCAGGTATTTTCCTTCCCTCCCTTCCTTCCTTCACTTTCCCTCCTCATCCTCCCACAGTGACTCCTATGATTTGTCCAGAGCCACAGACAAAAAGACAGACAGAAACGTCCCTTCTCTTGATTGTTTTTGGCTTTTTTGGCTCTTAATGATTTTGTGATAATGAGTTATGTCGAATTTACCGCGAAGCCATCTCAGGCAAACACAAACAGGACATTCCAGCGAGGATGTTAATGGGAGTCTCCCTCCCTCTTCCGTCGCCAACTCTGTCTGCTCACATAAATTAGCAGCCGCTGTTTCCAAACTCTGCTCTGATGTAACATTAATATAAGTCAGTCTGAGTGCTGGTGTCAGATCTGCACGAAAGAAAAGAGTCCATAGAAGTTGAGTAAAGTGGCTCTGAACTCATCCTGCACCTTCCTGTTGTGCTGCTGCATGACTCTGTGTGTGTGTGTGTGTGTGTGTGTGTTTGTGAATCCATCCGTTCAAACATCTGCAGCTGTGTTCTTTTTCCAGATGTTTCCCCTGCATTCATTTTCCTATTAGAGACCAGCTGCCTTGCAAATGTCACATCTGTCAAACTAAACTAATTCAGCCGGTTCATGCCGGGTGTCAACGGAACGTTATTTCATAGTTGATGGATTGTAGTACAGAAAACCGAGATACTGTGAGGAATATACACGTTTTTTTCTATAAAATCTGCCTTTTGTTTCACAAAAGAAGAAATTTTAAAGTTATCGAGGATGTTGCATTCAAACAAAATAGCAGATTATGCTAATAATTAGTAAATTAATACGAAAACTAGCTGCAAACTTTGAGATTTTGACTAGATTTTGGGTTGTTATCAACATACTGAGATCCAGAGAGCACCGATGGTACGTTTTTAGGTGTTTGTATTTATACTCAAGTATCTCCATACATTCAAGAGGGAAAAATTCAACTTTCTACTCCACTGCATCTGTCTGACAGCCTTAATTACTTATAAATTAATGATTTGACACAATGAATAAAATAACAAGCTTTTAAAATACAACACACGGCTAAAGATTAAACCAGTTGTCCACTTTTTTGGCTTCATACAAAAATAATGTGCATTCTGGGCCACATTTTAGACGACGTTAGTTGTTAGCAGCTCCAGCAGAAAGTGATGTTTTTCTTTAATTTGCAGTTTTTGTGTATAAAACTGAACATAAAGTAGCTC